TCTCTTGGACAAGCAGTGGTTTAGCATAGTGCAGTGAGATAGACCAACATGAATTTCTCCAAAAGCTAATCTAGTTTAATCTAATATAGTACTGCAATATAAAAAAAACACACACACATAAAATTAAGCATCAGATTGAGAACATAACACTAATCTTGACTAAAAAAGAACATCAGAATTCCGTTTGTCTATATCTATGTGTAAAAAGTGGGCATTGCACCGCAGGTAGTGACTAACCGACTGTTCAGAACTCAATACGTCTTTCTAACAAGGGCAAACCTCAAGCCATTGCTCTAAATTTAGTGGTTCCCATGCGACCACAGAAGATGTCCCAATTTAAGAACCATTTTCTCACTTACTACTCTGCGGACGTGCTGCATATTACACAAGCAAACAGAGCAAAGATACCCTAGCATTACCCAGATGTTGAGTGACTGCAGTTTACGGTCAATGACAGGGCCAGACAGATTACTCAGACGACTGTATCAGCTAATCCCAGGCCCACGACCTTTGAACTCTAAACAGGAAGCAGGAAGTGTGGCAATGGGACAGTGCACAGAACCCAAAGATGACCTCCTCTCTTCTTTCCGTATCCCTAACTCCCTTTATATTCCACATCATTAGTCCATGTTCAGGATCTTATTACAGTGGGTAGGCAAGTTATTCTGGTTTCATTGTGGTGAATATTTCTAAGATTTTTGTCTGAAATGTTAAAGTGGAAATGGATATGACCAAAATTGTTTAGCCACACCCTTGAATGCTCTATTGAGCCTTGTGTAATATAATCAGTTTCTCAGGAGGAGTCTTATTCATTCTCATTCTTCTACGGCAACCAACTGTTTACATAGTAAACACAAGAATACCCTTGAGACAAATATGCCCAGAAAGTGTATTTGAGATGACAATCGAGCATGCATTTTCCAAAATTAAAGTCCAATGAAAACAATTAGAAACTTGGTCAACTCAGCTCTTGTAGGGTTGTCAAAATATCAAGAATCAGATGCTAATCAATATTAAAACTATTGAATCAAAGCTTGTATTGAAAATTACATTCTATTTCTATTGTCTAAAGAAAGTGTTTTTTTTTTTTTTTTTCTCATGGTATTGGAATAGGTATTGTGTATCAAGTCCATTGAAACAGAGAGATTTTTTAGAATCATGGCAACATTAAACTTTTGCAACTACCACTGACTTTTGGACTTAAACTCCAAAAAACAAGGCATCTAACCAACCTCACTGGCAACTGCTTTCTCCTCCTTGACACTTCTTTATATTGGTTTCCCCTCACACACAAACACATCACAAAGTTCTTTCAACTCAACCTCAATGTCTTCTACAGACTCCTTAAACCAGCTAATTAGAGGATGCTAATGGGTCAACTCTCTGTATCCTGATCCTATTTTTTTTTGCCAGAAACACACTCCAGTTTTCAAACTTAAGCAACTTCCTCTACACCAGCTTTACTTTAAAATTTCCCAACATTCCTCGACTTTGTTCAGACAGATGCATTGCAAGAAAATGTAATATTGGTCATGTTTGTCTATTTCAGAGTTATTGCTAGGACCACTGGGCAAAAAAAAAAAGCATAACCCAACTGAATCCAGAATACACAAGTTTTAATATTAGCTCCATCAGTGATACAGAATTACCCAAATATCTACAATATAAAAGATCAAGTCAACAAATGTTTTCAGCAGGTCCTATACCTGACATTCTCTTCTTCCAGTTCAAATTGAAGCCTTTTATAGCCTTTTTAAACAGACATTGCCAAGTAATAAGCAGAAGAGACTTTTTGTCTAATCCAATCATACAGTTGGATCAGAACCATACAGAAACAAGCTTGCCTGTTACTATGGTTGAACATCAAAATAAGAGAAATGACTAAGTGGCTAGGCCAAATAGGTCAAAATGAAGTTCCTGCCTCATGGTTTAAAAGTACAGCCCTTTAAATAATATGCATTTTATTTGCATTTCCTCCTCAAACCAAATATAAATAGAGCGTTTTGCTTAGGTTTATATAATAATATCATCATCAACAATCTTATTTACACATCAGTATCAAAAGCAATACAAAGTGCATTTGAAACACAATATCTTACAGTGTGTTTGGGACATGGCCTTTCAGAACTGCAGCCATTTGCCCCACGCTGTCCACTCTCTCTGTGTGAGAATGTGACCCTCTGCTGATTAATCTGTTTTTAACCATGTCTGGACTGAAGCCAAAACCACATGCTTACTCTCACTCATACTAGCTTTTTTTGTCTTTTTCATTGTATCACTTCTTTCAGAACAGAAAAAGGCTATTGCCCCCCTGGTACTACAACAAGGATGTTCTTTTCTTCTAAGTAGTGCCCCTCCAACAAAACAAATATACCCATAGCTCACTTCAAAAACACCATACACTCTACTGCTCTTCTTCAGTGTATCTGTAGCCCTCTTTCACTTATTGCTCCACCCTCCACGATCTGAACTCTTTGTTGGGGTAATAAGCTGAACAGTGCAATACAGTTTCCATTCATGCATGGCTCTCTGATGTCCTCTACTTGAATCAAAAGTCCTACAATGCCTGCTGGGTGAGCAGACCTGCATGCTAGGGGCTATTACTCAATGTCATGGTCGAGTGCTGCTTTGTAGAATAATAAGTCTATCTAATTATTGGGACTATCCACTGCAACAACAATGAAAGATGATAGGGTGTAATTAAAAAAATACCTGAACAATAACAAAGGATAGAAGGTTGGAAATATACATCATGTAACTTTTTGGTATTGCAAAAATCTGAATAGTTAATAGTATGATTATGATATGAATCTAGCATATCATCTGGCTAGCATCAACATTGTTGTAGTATTTTATTATAATATGCAACTTTTTCAGAATAAAACCAATCGTGGGACTGTCTGAAGTTTTGCTCCTGTTGAACCCACAACCCCACAGTAAAAACACACACACATAGGGATGTTCCCATAGCCTTTCCGAATGGTTAAGCAATATCTCTCCCTTTCTGTCACTCTCACTCAGCCTCTTCCAACATCCACACATTTCCCTGGTCTTATTAGCCATCCATTTCTGCTTTTGGCCAATCAAAATAGCCTATAGGTGAAAGAATATATCAAACTGCATGGCATGTACTCATCTGCACACCTGGTTTGCTGACATTTACTGCTCTAGGCTACCTCCATTTCCAGGGTCATCCTGTAAAAGCATTCCTCAGTTGTTTTAAACCTCTTTTCAGTCTCCAATAGCACTAAACAATCACAGAAACAAAGCTTGTATCCATTCTATTTTCAACACCAGAGGGTTTTAGCTAAATTTAATGAGCAAATTCTCCCACCAAGATCAACCAATTAGGCCTTCTTCTCATTAGTGGGCTGTACAGAGATGCTACTGTTCTACACTTCCTGGTTACCGCAGAGTGCAAAGATATTACATGAACACTGAGACAAATTTAAGGTTAGATCAGGGCAAAATTACAGGTCTGTGAGACTCTCAAATACACAAAAAGAGAATTATGTTAACCCAATCATTAGGCTTAACATGAGCCACGATACATGCAGATTTCCAGGGCATCCAATAACGCAATCAGTTTCCCACAGCACCTCTAAATAACCATAGTCCGTGTAACGCAATACAGTACAAAGGCTTTTGTGATCCGTGCAACATTCAATTGGTGTAATGAGACCATGAAAAAATAGGTGTAAAATCAACTCTATTGTCATATTAGGAGCCTTTAGATGTGGAGTTGTAAGCACATTTGGTTGCAGTGGGCTGTAGGTCTGTAGCTATTTTTCAGTTATACATTTTAAATACGATTTGTTTTAGTTAAGTGAGTCTGAGTTAAAGATATATGCCCACATGATGATGATATGTGTTATATAATCAAGTCTCCCTCTGTCAAGACTTTTTATTATAATAAAAAGATGCTTCAGTGGAGGAGAAGAGGAACTCAGACCATCTTGTGCTGAGTAAGGTGATGACTAGTCACACTCACAGAGACAGGGGTTGGATTGTAAGAGGATTTCAACAGTTATAATACTTAACTGTCCGTATGCTCTTCTCAGCCATGTACAGTGGGTCTGATATTATCTCCTCTCTGAAAAAAGGGGAGGTGGGGACTTGGAGAAGACTAACTAGGCTAAAATACACCTTGATCAAAGATGGATTTTTTTTAACTTGAACATCAGCACCTCATGAGACGTGTCTGTGAAGTTGCAGAGTCCATGCAATATGTCGGTTAGGGAAAGGTCCACAGTGTTATCAAAGTACAAATACTGCATTTCTATAGTCTATCTCTGTAAGAGTAAGAAACATGTAGGACTCAATCATTTTCATTTCATTTTGGGGGGCATCGTTAAATCCCTCAAAGGAAGCAGTAGGGCACCTTCTTCTGCTCGTGTTTGTTCGACAAGTAGTTTTTAAGAAGTTACGGGCTGCTCCAAAATCACAGAGAGGGGGTGTTAAAATGCATGTTAGCCCTGAAGTTAGCGTCCATCTTTCTGAACCTACCGCCAAAGGTAACTCACCGTAAACGACGTAACTCTACTCCAGGAAATACGACATCCACCTCCACACTGAGCGCTTTTTGTTCAAAACTGACTTTTGCCCAATAATACAACTCACTCACAGTGTATTTTGAGGATTTAACATCTCTGCGGACGATCTAACCACGGTAAAGATGTCCGATGACCGAGTAACAGCATGGGGAGTCCGCAGCGGAGGTGATGCGATAGCTGGGATAACATGGAAGATAGATAGACGCCATGAACCGCTCACATCGGAGGCATGAGCCCAAAATTGCGGACTTTACTGCAGACAACTACACGTTTTTACGAATAAAAGCACACATGTATGTCTGAGACGTAAAAGTAGTAGCTACACGTTTCCTTGAGGCAACTAAACTAACATACAAAACACATGAAAATACAAGAAAGAACGCGTTCAATCAAATGCATCAGAAGGTAACATCACGTGATTTGAAGAGAGGCGAAATTAAACCTTACCTTATGTGATTTCCAACAGTTTGTAAGTGTATTTTTATCGAAGGTGGCCTCACACGCGGTTCTCCTCCAAATAGCGCTCGTCCCTCTCCCACAGCCTCCAAAAATCTCTACTACAATCCACACACTGAAAATCTGGCCCTAGCTCAAACCTACGTGTCAATCATCTGGATATCCCGCCTCCTACAGTGCAAAACATCTTTTTACGGCCTCTCATTGGCTGCCTAAGGTTACTGTACAGAATACTGCAATCTGATTGGTTATTTCAATTGTCTATTCGCTACAATGGGACGTTCTAAGCGGATGTAGTAAAGGTAAAATAACGAGACACTGCCATCTATAGGGAAAAAGTAGTAACTGCATGTTTACATACTGTGTGTTTGTATTTCTCAGATTGTGTTTTTTATTACTGGACCACAAATAAGTATAAAAAGATCTACTTTTTAAGCCATGTTAAAAAAAAATGTAAAAATGTGTCTGCGGCAATCAACAAAGTAGGCTTGTGTTTGTCAAGTTGTGTAAGACCTACCTACCTAACCCTCCTATTTGTTCCACAGTAATTTGCATTTTCCACATCATCAGAGAACCACTGTATTTAAATACGCCTTCTCTTAAACACAAAGTACTCTTTTGATTACATAATGGGTATAAACACAGGCGTTTTGCTTCACAATCACACACCATTCTTATATACATGCTTGACTCTGCCCACAAACAGATTACAGAAGCTCAGGTAATTGGCTTAAAGTGCATGCTGCATTTGCTTCCCATCCAGCATCAAACATGCTTGGTAAAATTTATGCCAGAAGAGGTAATGTGAGGTAATTCTGACTATAATCATAAGAAAAAGAAATAACTAGGCTATATATTTGGATTTCTGTTGATATGCTTTGGTAGACTAATTAGAGCATAGCATCTTTGTGTTGTGTTGACTCACCAATGGCAGTGCACATGTCCAAGTGGAAAGCATGTTAAAGAAACACAATTAAGTATCAATGTTAGATATAACTCAAAATTCCCCACATTCTAGACGTCTGTTTTAGTAATAAACATGTTCCTTTAACATAATTTGTTTTAAATAAGCCTAAACCTGTCCAGGAACTGCTGGCTGTGATTTTCAACATTGAACAGTATTGGGTTGCATTTGGCAACAGTAAAATGTTTATAGAGTTTAGACTAAATACAAATTACATGAATCCAGTGTTAAAACATGAAACCATATAGTTTTATTTTTCTGTTTATATTTATTTTCTTTATTTATTTTTATATCTATAAAAGGTAACACTTACACAGTCTATTTACTTCCTAAAACAATAGACTTCAGGGCAAAGGGAATCCAAATTACTCCCCTGCCCCTCTTTCTGGCCCATTAAAGCTTCAATTAAATTTGAACCTGATGACAGTAGCCTACCACTTGACCTCCTTTACCCTCAAATTAGAATTTAATGAAAAGCAAGACATGGAGTATACACACAAATACCATGTTGGCTATAATGCTACTGTTAATTCAACAAGACTCTATTGAGAATAATATAATAACAAACACAAAGGGCTTTGAAAAGGACCACCAAAATCTGATCTAAACAAGAACTAAAAGACTAAAATAGGAACACATGCTAAACAATATCTTAAATAGTGCAAGAAGGCATTAAAGAAAAAAAAAACACATTTAACCAAATTTACTTGAAGTGTGGAGTACCAGAATAAGCCAGGATTCCATATTTTGGGAACCACTGGACTGGACTATTTTATGTATTTGTCCCCGCTGACACATAACTCCACTGTAGCTTCCAATAACTTGCAAAATATAAAGAAAGGAAAATGGCAAAAATTGATATGCTGACCTGACTGACCTGCAGTGTCCCAGCAGCAGAAACAGAAGATAAGCTAACGCTGTAATGTGTTAACATAGTATGGCTTTAGTTTGCTATACAGGCGTGAGATCAAGGCAGTACAGATTCCCTTTGGGATTAGTGACGAGCTCTTCTGAGGGGAATTACCCATGGACCATCTGGACAGCACTAGACCAAGTCCAGCCAAGTACGAATCTCCCATTGAAAAACTATGTCACTGAAGTTATAAGTTGCATGCTAAAAAAAGGGGTAAACATTTTTAACTATCAGAGAAATATTTTCAGTTTTATTCATTTAATTGTGGTAATTTTGAATGCTAAAAACTCTATTATCACAGCAATGGCACATTTGTTCACCAAATGCAAAGTCCTATTAATTTTTGGGTCTCCATGTAACCCAACTTTTTGGTATACCACTTCCATGACTCCCATTTAAGAATAAATATTTCTGTTGTCTGGTTTCTGTTTATTTGTCTGGGTTTCAGCTTTCTCTTATATAACATTTTAAGGACTTCTTTCTTTCCATTAACATTTAATTTTAAATTGTTAATTGCTACTTTAATTGTCCTAATTTTTCATCATTCTGAAATCTATGGTTGTCTAATTGTCTTTATTGTATAGCATATTTGTAATCAGTAAACAATTCAAAACGGGACACTCATAAGCATAACAAACTGTACATTACCCAAAGTTAAGCTGGTCTTCAGGTGGAACGTGCTGTTCTTTCTCAGTTCTGTGTGTCAAACAAATGTAAAGATACTGAACAAATATTGGTATCTCCATTCCCCCCAGTTTGTTTAATGTCATGCTGTAGCTCTCTCTCTCTCTCTCTCTCTCTCTCTCTCTCTCTCTCTCTCTCTCTCTCTCTCTCTACCTCTCTCTGTCAGTCTGTTTGTGAGCGTGTGAGTGCAGTAAGGCTACACTTTTGGATCAGGTATCGCGCACAGGTGAACAGGAAGAGGAGCGAGAAACCACGCTGGGGATGGGTAATTGTCTGTTCCAGAAACATCTTCGGTGGCTGATTCCAAGAAGGCTCCATAGCACTAATGACTCATTGTTTGCTCAAGCACTCAATTCTTTGCAGGCCACTAAGTCCAGACCACACCAAAAATATTTTCCCCACATAAATAAGGAAGTTTTGATCTAATCTCTGTAATGACTATGATGGCTCTTCACTCTTCAGCCGATATGATATGGCTCATATGGCACATATAATTGGCTTTGATTTAATTTTAAAAGAGACCTCACACGAGTCTTTCAGGTAACTTTTGTTCTTTAACGGTGCAATATGGAATGTTTCTGGTGTAGGATCTGTCAAATACTTTCTACATGGAGATGTTATTGCTTTGTCTGGAATATTTCACAGTATGGCATTAAACCTTTCTATCTTCATGGATAACAATCCAGACCAAGTTACAGGTCAGGTCTGGGGGAAGGTAACCCCGCTCACGGTCAGAATGCAATAAAATTACCTGTAATTAAATGCATGTAAGGTGACGGACCCCCAATCAAAAAGTTACAAAGTGCACTTTTAAACACCAGTAATAGGGTTAAATGGTGCACTTATGCCACTAGAGGGAAGCATTACGCTGTTGTGGGTAGGAAACCTAATGTAACTAAACAAATCATTTGAGAAGTTTCAGAAGCCTAAATTAGGAACATTAATAGCCTACTTCAATGTGCATGATCATTATTTCTGAAATATTGTCAGGCTCCTTCTCAGCTATAAAGACAGATTTAAAGTCATTTCTCAAGAATGCACGTTCAATGAGGCTTCAAAACTTTAAGATCTACTTGGTCACTGCAGATTTATTCCACAACACCTGTTTAGCTGTTTAACTGTTTAACCTAGTAGTCCGAATAACTCTCAAGTACAAAGTAATAAAATGTCCGAATACATTAAAATGAATGTGCTTTAGGCCTACCATTCATAAAACACAAAAAAGCACTTATATAAATTGTCTTTCTGAGGCTTTACTCACAGTTTAATGTTTACGAAATAAGAATTGTTTTCAATAAGCCTGCCACTTCTGCCTCATGACCCTAACGAATCTAAAAGATGTGGTGTGTCTAATGAGTGTTGGATGCTTTACTGGCTCTCACCTGTAACCATAGAAACATCCACTGCTGTTTCACTGGGCCAGATCCTGATTCAAGTTAGTTTTACTGCTGCATCTCTGAAAACACAATAACATGTGAGAATCAATATACTTTTTGGAGTAAAACAGCTGTAATGAGTGTGATAGCCTCATTGTCACGGCTCTTTAACTTAATAGACAAAAACATTTTACCACTTGATGACAACATTCAAATAAACAATTTCCCGAATTCACTAAACTACAGCCTACACCCTTGACAGACAAAGAAATCACTGAACTGTGCACAAAATGAAATACTGAATCATTGTCTGATCTGTTGTATTGATCAAATAAAATATAATATGATAAGATACCAAAACATTTAAAAGTTTGGACATACCATCTCATTCAATGTTTTTTTTTTTTTTTTTTTTTGAATGTTTACTACTTTATATGAAGCAAGGTGTAAGAAAAGTTAAATAGGTCAACAAATATATATATATATATATATATATATATATATATATATATATATATCCTCAGTGTTGCCACTCTTAGCTTTATTTACAGTGCTGCAAACCCTTGGCCTTCTCTCAATTAAATTCATGATAAATTCTCCTGAAATGTCTTGCACTTCACAGGTTGTGTGAGTGCAAAAAAAAAAGTTTACTACTTTCCATATGTGTCCATTCATATATTTTGGTGCCTTCAGATAGATTCTACAATATACATAATTAAGGAAACAAAGAAGAAATAATGAAAAAGTGTGTCCAGACTTTTGACTGATGCTGTACTGGGCATAAGAAGGCCTAATGATAACTGGAAGCAATTAGGTGTAGTCTTTTTCCTCTGAATTTGCTGCAGCTACACATCATCATTAGGCTCAATTAACACAATGCCAATTGCCAGCAATAAAACCTGTAAATACATGTTTTATTAGCAACTCTTGGGTCTTATAAACAAATAGGACAGAGCTGTAAAAATCTTTATCAGTGTAGCCTATACTCATCAAAAACATGTAGTCCTATAGGTTTACTAAAGGTCCTACGTTACACAATAACACAAAACTGACTCTTGTGAGCTTTAAGCCATGTTATAATGTTTTTTTATCTCCTCACATCTCCTGAAATTGTGTTTTGTTTCATTCACACAAGTTCACACATTCAAGTTTTCACCTTATGTTCAGCAGAGATGGGCAATGTCAGGGTTGAAATGATCCAAATGATTCTAGTGAAAGGGTATGGAGTAAAAACACAGTGGAGCGCTTCTTGTATTACCAAATTACATCACAAGGTGGAACAGTGTTTTTCATATGAACAAAGAACTTAGCCTACCTTCAGGGTTTGTGTGTTAAACGTGTGAATGAAACAAAACACAACTCCAGGTACAGTATGTTTATAATGAGGAAACAATATAGCATAAATCAGGTTAGAGTTGTACCTTATTATGCCTTGCTATGAGTTGTTCTAACGTTTTACCAGGGCATTTGTAATTAAACAGCAACTAAATTTTTTATCTGATGTAGAATAGTCTGCGACAGACTAATCTGACATCTCCAGAGCACAGAATAGACCAAGACTGCTATGCATAGTGCTGATAAGTGAGAGGAGGGAGGCAGGGAGAAGAGAGACAGCGCGTTTCCGGATTGTGCCGTCAGTCAGATCTAGCTTTTACTACGAGCAGCATGTCAACACCAACCTCCAGAAAAAAACTATTTATCGTGAGGGCCACTGTCAGTAACAACGCCCTTTGATCGCGACTTCCAAAGCTTTCCAACTCCGGCGACGCAAACGTGAAAGGATCGCCCATTTTTGGTCCAATTTTTGAAAACTTTTTTGGCGTTGGAGCGCAGAGCAGCGTCGAGACCGTGTGTTAAAGGGAGCAACCAAAGCATCGAAGAAGAAAAAAGCGTGAAATCTTAATATAGTAGTGTTTTTTTTCTCTCGATTGGTTGTTGTTTTTGCAGTACGAAGAACCAGGACTCGACTTGGATCTGATGCTACTGGCGGTACACGGTGATAAAATTTGACCTCCCCGGATTGAAGCTTTGGAGAGGCTGGGAAGGTATGGTAACCAAGACCTGATAAATTCACAGTTTTTGGATGTTTGCTACCATTATTCTGTTCTAGTTTTGTCATAGCAGTGGTTGATTATCACACAATTAAAATAAATTATGAACTGTGTACTTTCAAAGCCTGGGCAGGAGGTTTTCATCAAAATAATGGCAAAAACTGGATTTTCTTTGGAGTTAATTGGGCTCAGTCATGCACTCACATTGTAAATTGTTAGCATATTTTTGTAACTAGCTTTCTTTTTGGTCCAGGGACTGCAGTACTTATCCAAAAAAGTATTAGGATTAAAGAATATTCTGATTTGGGGGACCATCCTGAGGTAATTTGTCTCTAATAAGTGAAAATGAGGCTACTTCAGTGTACTTTATGCATGGAAAAGGGGTACAATAGATTGCTAAGAGTAATGGAAAAGAAAAAATCAGTAGCCTGTTGTTTTGTCATAGTCACTTAAGCTAATTTGCATAAGATAGGTCATTATTGCATTATTTGAATGACACTGGCCTTTATTGCGCAAAAATACAAAGTGGTTGCTATTTGAACTGTGCAATTAGACAGTTTCCAAGTGCTTCTTTTCTTTTTCTCTTTACTGTGTCTTCTGTCATTGCCCACTTGTGCAATCATGTGGGCAGTTTTAATATTCTCACAGTCCCACTCACTCTCAGAGCAAAATGGGTTCTGTCTGTGCAAAGCTTTTCTCACCATTATCTGCTCATGTTTGAATGTAATATTTGTCTTTGTAGTTACTGTCCCCTAACCAGGATGAAGCCTTGTTTATCTGGTTAAATATTTGGAAAGACCTTTGCTATACGCTCTTCTTGGATCCTGTAGGAGACCGCATCATCATTGGAAAAAATGAAAGCACCATCATATATAACATGAATAAGATTAGTATAAAAGAAATTTGGAAGTAGTGTTGTTGCAGTACTAAAGTATAAAACAATTTTGGTCAAGGAAATAGTTTATTATGCAATACCAATTTCAATACCACAATAATATTAAATACGCTCTTTCTTTTGACAGTATGACATTTTAACACACAAATAGTAGTTTTGTTATATTTTACAAGGAGATATTCTTTGCCTGCTGATATCTATCATTGCCCAATTAAAGTGTGTTGAAGGGATGAGCAATATTGAATAAAATGACATGTGTTTCGACATGTGTTACAACGTGCCTGTAACTGCCTCAGATCAGGTTCAAGTACTGCCGATTGCATAATAATAATTATTATTATGTTAATGGTTTGAAAGAAAAACACAAATGTGCAAAAGATAAAATTTTTCTTTTTATCAAATACTTTTTTTTTTTTTTTTTTTTTTTTTTTAGAATTTCACAGCTCTCCTGCTTTGCATATAAAATGTGTTTTAAAGATGCTACCTTGCAACTGCTCACATCTACATACAACTTTTACAGTACATTTTCCACATGTGATGACAAAAAATCCTTCAGTGATTTTTCCTCCTGGAAATGTCTACATATTTCCTTCCACTCTCTTAACCTGACCTTCACCGTAACTAATACATTGTCAAAGCTCCTGCAGCTCACAGAAGTCTTTATTTAGTGTGAATAGAAAGCAGGACTTGTGACTAACCCTCCACTTGAGAGGCACAGCACATTGTGTCCATCCCTCTCTCAAAGTGCGTCACTGGTCTACAAGGAAATCCCATCTGCACCACATAGTTCAGACTGCTCCTTCTGCTTAACTTATCTCAAATCAAGGCCTATCCCCAGGCTCTTGGAGGAGGCCAGGGTTCAAACATATAGCCAGGGAGACAATAGTACGGCCAAGTACCATCAACCCATGCAAAACTTAACCTCAGTAAATTGACTGCAGGGTGTATTTATTCTATGAACATTTTAGGGAAAAAATAGTAGATGAGTTTAGGACAAATTTACAAATCATAGGTTTTACTGTGTTTTTGTGGCTGTTGATCCTTGAAATTGCAGGATAGGACGAATGCTTTGATGTGGGCCCAGTGTAGTTCTAGTTTAATTATTTTTTCTTCCACAATAAAACAAATATAGTTCTTGAAACGTACTGCTAGAATAAACACAGCAGTATTTAGATTAGATCCCATTTAGTGATACCAGTGTTACTAGAAATACAATAGTAGTATCATAGTAGCATTCAGCAAGACACCTAATTCTATTTACATAGTAGATTTACATAAAGATAATCAGAATTATAATAAATTGGATATTTTTAAGTATTATTATTTTGTTAGTCTCTTTTACTCTTTTACTCTCTGCAGTGCACCTTTTAACCAAAATATCTTTAGTCAGACCTATAAATATAAATAACATTGTGCAATATAAAAAGAGTACATTCATTTTGCTGGACTAGGACCAACGTAACGCAAAGTGTTGTGTCAGCGCTCACTCAGGCTTATTTGCATTGTTAAGTTTGACACTTTCCATTTTAACAGCACTTGAATATGCTTTGCTAATGTTGATAGAATAGTGGTGTAAACAATATCATGTTATAAGTGAGCAGTACTTCTTTATTTTACATAACACAAACAAACAAAACCAGATATAAAATTGGCTAAAAGAAGGCAAAATGTGGTAGAGGAAACTAAACTTAGTGTCCGAATACATGCAAATCTGGTGTCATCATCAACATACACATAGACTGAATGTAGGAGAATCATAACATTATAAACACCTGCTGTTTTGTCTGCTAATCTGCACTCTGAGTCTATGTTTCTTGTTTTGTCTGATTTTTCATTTGTAGATTTTTCTTGGTCCTTGGTCTTTGTGTGTTTTGAAGGGCCTGGGTAGAATAGATTCATCATGTTAATGTGTAAACTTCCATAATAGAGCTAAGTACTGGTAGTAATTTAGTAAGTGTATTAAAATAGTGAATGAGTAGTAAAGATACCAGTTTGGGTTGCATTTATGATGGTCATAAAAACAAATTAAAGACCTTATCTTCATCAGTTGGGAATGTCCCTCTGGCTGTATTTGTTTCTTAATGTTTAACTGAATTGTGATCTATGGGGTTAAACACTAGATTAAATCCTTGTTGTTGTGTTGCAGACATCCTTGTGGTTGTGTAGCTGCTGACTGAATGCAGAAGAGGCAGAAGCGCCCTTGACTCAGGGGACATTGTCCGATGTGTGTCCAGCTCCTGAAGCCCATGGCCTGGCCGCGGGGATGGCAGCCTTTGCCCTGAACCTCAGAGTCATGAACAGGTCACTATCACAGTGCATTCCTCTTCACACAGGGCTATGCCTAGAAGCACTCTTGTTTGGTTAGTTTAGTCTGACAGGCGGTTTAACAAGAAATATGGGCTCTCATTTCATTTAACTTCACCAGTCATTGAGGAAGAACTCCTGCCCTATTTTCCACTTAGTGCTTTCCTTTGTTTGCTCTGTAATTCAAATTTCTAAAATTTATGAATCAACTGAAAAGTAACTTAACATTACGAACAACTAAACCCTTCCTAAACGTTTCTCATAAATGACATGCAATCATGTAGATAGTAAACAGCAGTGTTATTACTCAAGTAAATATACAAATACTGGGACAAACAATTACTCAAGTAAAAGTTTCACATGAAAAAATCTACTGCAAATAAAACTGTGTAAGTACCTGTTTAAAAATGTACTTTAATAGTATAAGTAAAATGTATTTTGCAGAGATTTTTTTAGAACAATTAAAGCATCAAACATAGTGATTTTGATAAAGAATTTAGTGAATTTTAAGGGATTTAATCTATTAATACATTTTTTTAGCTGTGTTTTTTGCTCAGATTTGGGACAACTTTCAAATGTAGTGAAGTAAAAGAAAAACAGTTTCCACTGTAAAAAAGTGGACTTTTTTAAAATTTACTTTTGAACTTTTGTACTACATTCCACCACTGCTAAACAGCTGTAAACAACAACTGTATGTGTATAATTATGATCATGAATGAATCATGAATGACATGAATTACATGACATAAAAATCTGTATTGTGCTGTTTTCATGTGTTTTTCTTCTTGTCTCTTTAGCAGTAATCAGTTCCACGCTCAGCCAGGCTCCTCTAACGGCTCCAGAGCGAGGTCCAGTGCTGTGGGTCGGCCCGTGCTCCCCGTCCCCGACAGAAGCACCTACTGTCCTCTGCTGGGAGGCCTCTACAGCCCCACCAGTCCCTCCAGCCCCACCAGCCCTACGGTAAGAAATATATATCACTTAGTCAAGTTGATGTGTTAATTAATTGCCAAGATGAGATAGGCCTATTGTTATACTATTTACGATACCTGTCCTGTTTTTTAAAAAGCAGGTATCTAAAGCCTAAAACCTGCTATTAAAATACGCAAATGACTATGTTCTATGATGTTGTAGCAGTGTTTGATAGGAAAAGCTGAAAGAAAGAAATGTATGGTTGTCTCATTAATCCAAAGTTTATTTGTGCTAACCCGTCACATGAGAAAAGTATATGGGGAAGCACAGTTTAAGGAGATGTACTTTTAATCCTGACTCTATGAACTTCACCTTGAAAACTTAGTCCACTACTCTGCAGAGCTTACCTTCATAGTATTTACCTTACATGGTATTCCTGAATCACTCCCCTCTTCACCCTTCTTTTTTCCTCTCTGTTTTTGCTGCCAGACAAGTCGTCAAACTCTGGGTCCAGCTTTTGTGTTCCCCTCTCCCTCCTCCCCCTCTTCCCTGTGCCCCAGCCCTAGCCCGCCTCGGCGTGCTCGCTCCCCTTCTCCGCGCAGTCCCGAGCTGCTGGGTGTCAATGTGGGCCAGAGGGTGCGCCGCCTGAGCTCGCCCGGCTGTGAGGACCGAGGGGAGGCGGAGGGGCAGGAGGAGCGTCCGGGGGAGGGAGGGGAGACCCGTGAGGGCCGCAGACGCCAGGCACAGCTGCTGCAAATCCACCGCGAGCTGCAGAACGTGGAGGTGAGACTGACCCAGCGGTTTTGTGTTGTGTAGGGTGGGTTGATGCCCAAATACTAATTAATACTAAAACTATTATAAACACTAGATAACCAAAAGGTAAATACGCAAATGCTGATCCTTATCATATCTATTAGACCCATGAACTCTTTTAACAATATCACTTTTAGCTGCACCCATTTGTATTAAACAATATTGGCCTATAGAATGTTGTGTTGTTGAATGTTCACAGATTTATTGTATTATGTAGCTTACATTTGTCTATAATTTTATCTGGTGTATTCAGAAAAGTGTTGTAAAAATATCTGCAAATACTGTGAGCTGGATTACGTCTCTACAGATCTGACCTGTAACTTAACTTGATGGTGATACAGAGATACATATTTGTAAAACCATATTGTGGAACACTGCCTTCAGCGCCAAGACTCTCAAATCGACATCAAAGTGAACACCTGTGGTATAATATATCAAGGATGATAACCAAACTAACTTAAATCCTTTGTTGCCTTTCTAGGTCAGAGGAAAAGTCGGTATTTTTGAGGCCCACATCTCCGGGATCCGTGCCCAGGTTAACAGCGAACTCCAGCGCAGTCCTCGGTCTCCACGACGATCGACTAGCCACGCCCCTTTCCCGCTCAGCCAATCCCAAAACTCTGCACCCCAATGCCCAATGACACACCCACAGGAGAGCAAGGTTCCCTGTGTGGTCCCCAATGGAAGAGAAAGAGAGGAAGAAGGGGAGAGGAGGGAGGAAAGTTCTGCCAAGTTACCCACGGAGAACCAAAATGGACGCAGTATGGATACAGTTTCTCAGAATTTATTGTCAGATGGGGAGAATATAGAACGACTTGGAGGGAAGGATGGAGACGGAGATGAACTTCAAGCTAAACGAGAAAGGACAGAGATAGAGAAAATGGAAATACATGAAAATGAAACGCAAATGGAGCTAGCAGAAAGTGGTGTAGCTTCTTTATCGGACCTACCAGATCAAAACCACTCTTTCACTAACACTCCTCCAATCCCAGCTGTTATAATCACGGACCACGAGAGCCCACTTCCAGCTTCAGAAGGCCTCAGCTCAGACCAGCCAATGTCTTACACGCCAAGTCCAGGCTCGAGCCCCATTCCTGGGCACAACTTTTCAACCCGCTCCCTCAGAAAGCTGTCTTCATCTTCCACCTCCTCTGCTGGGTTCTCCTCATCATGGGAAGAGTCTGAAGAAGACATCTCCAGTGACAATGAGAGGGGGGACCAGCTACTCAACCCGACCGTGCTCAGTTCTCAGCAGAAAGCAGTAAGTACAAAATCAAACGAAAAAAACCAAACAAAAAACTTAAGATCTTATTTTGTATTTATATATTTTAAAAGGCTTGTATAGAATTATTAGTAGAGTAACATAGCTCAAAATATGATCCAAAATGTGTTTTTTCTATGGGGATTGTCACTTATGTCAGTTCAACACCTGTTTATCATAGCTGTTATGATAGATCACTGATTGCTGATTAAGTTAGGGTCTTCACAATGTTTGTTGTTTGTGTTTTGCTTTTAGTGGAAACGGGGGAGTAATGGAGAGATAGAGCAGATGCATGTCTATTTGCTCCATTGAATTGCCTCATGTGGCTAAAAAAAGTGTTGGTGAATTGAAGTGAAAATTAATTGAAAACTTATAGGCAGTTGTATATTTGTTTATTTGCTTATTTATTAACACCGAAATTATGTGGGACAGAATATGATTCAACATTTTTTAGCAATAAAGATGCTCTATGTAACTTTTCTGGTGTGGGCGTTTCCACCTGCTTATCTTTTGCTTTGCCTGTAATGTTCCACTGTATGACATTAATTCATTTATCTGGCATTTGTTCAACTACCTACCTTTTTATTGTCTCTACATGCTTTTTAAAAACATGCATTCCTGCTGAGAACTGGGTAACCTCTCCACAAATCTGAACAACTCAGCCTGCTTGTCCTAGTAAAGTTTGATTGTTTTAATGCCATACTGTGCAACATTCCAGACAAAGCAATTACATCTTTATGGAGACAAACAGGTGTCAGACCATTCACCAGAAAGTTACATAATGGACTTTTAAACCACAATGCCTGTTGCAACCATAGACTCAATAACTCATGGTGACAAGCAAAGTTACCATACCTTTTTATCCACATAATATAAAACACACATAGACGGTGATGGCCCAAAGGGAATTCCGTAGCTATTTAATATTGTCTTAGTCAGAGTGTGAGACCTGATTTAGCACCCATCCTGTCAGTTGTTGTAAAGTGTTCATGTTGATACGTGCATTGCGTTTGGAGTTGCCCGTGCTTGTAGCCTGCTGCTGTATAAAACTGTCCTCCCCTCCCTGAGATGTGGATGACATTCTCCCAAACAAAGCCAGCTCTGTGCCTGACCTGTGTGTGAGGGGGTGTATGTGAGGGGGCGTGCGGGGAGTACAGAAGGAAAGTGGTGTTATTAAAGGAAAAATATAAAATTCGAGAGAAACAGTCATAGGTACTTTGGTAGAGCTGAAAAACTGAGTTGAAATATTTGTGAGTTTTCTGGCAAGCATTACGATTAGATTTGCAATTTATGTTTTAATAACGGGATTCTCTTCAAGTTCACATTTTAAATGCTTCAAGTAGGACTGATAAAAGGACTGAAATATGAAGTGAAGACATCTCCAGTATCACTTTTCAGGACATGTTTGTACAGATCTAAACTACAGGGTTAGCGGTTTTTATACAGAATGAAACAGGAGATTTTGTTATTTTGTTTGTGAAGGAAATTATGGTACTTCTTGTACCATATAGATTTGCTATTTGTGTTCATTCAGATTTCAATTTGATGGTGATTACTCTTGCAGGGCTACTTTTTTTTCCTTTTTTTTTCTTTTTTCTTTTTTTTTTACAGTATTTGGATCTGGTTCAAACTGGAGGCAGTAACATTGTGTGTAGGTGGAGGGATGCAATTTTTGTTTGTAGCAATAAGTTCACAACACGACCATCTCACTTCTGCTTTGAAATGCTTTGGATTACACTGTTCTTTGTTTTAAAAGAAGATGACACTTGCTGGTTTTCACACTGAATAGATATGAGGATGAGTCCAGGTGTCCAAAATTAAAACAATTTCAGATTTTGGAAGAATTGCAACCACCAGTTATAAAATGCATTGGCAGTTTCCTTGTCAGAAATGCCTGTATTTAATTATAATTACTTTTATGCCATATAGTTATGCCGTGAATATAGACAAAGCTATTCATACAACATATGCAGTTTGTTTGCAAGAACCTTGCAGTTTTTCTCACCTTTATTTAAGAACATTGCATATTCCATACTCTATTGTACGTCCATGTGCACAAACAAAGCTAGCACTGCCATGGTATTTAACAAAATACCGTAGTGATATAATAATTAAAAAAAAAATGAAAAGGAGCTTGAATTATCATGTTAACTTTCTAAACTTAAAAAAAAAGATAGAGGTATAATATTTCTTTACAAGATGTGTATCACAGTGCAGCTGATATGTCCCTTCCTCCTTGTCTTGTCCCTATGCGTGGCTTCATTTAAATGGCTGTGAATATTAAATGGCACTTCAGATGCTCAGGTTTTCTTTCTTAAACCTGTCTGGGCTCCTGCAGGTGTCCTGGCCTGCAGACTTCATTTGTTTAAATGAATTTGGCTGCTGGATTTGAATAGGGTTTGTTTTCATGTTTGCATATCTCCTGCATTCTTTGTTTTCCACAAGCAGCAACAAATGCTTTTGTTTGTCAGGATTAAATGAACCACTAAGATACATGATGATAAGGATGTTACAAGCAAATTTCAAAGTTTAGTTATGATGACCGGGCAAGTTACAAAAGCCAAACAGCTGGCTAAAAACATAGAAAACATTTAATTTGAATTAAAATGACTTGATTTAGCAGGTTATTGTATTATTACAACTTTTAATATTAATATGTTGTGACAGGACCTGATAGAGGGGTGTCAAAAAATGGATAATATCACAGTTAGTTGTTCTGGAGATATGAAAAAACTGAATGTCGAGTATGTTGTCTAGAATTAAACTATGACAAATGACAGCAAAAAGTGAAGGCAAAAGCAGAAATGTCATGCTTAATCTCCCAAATAGGGAATAGTGATATTTCTGCTCTTTTGTGGTTACCAGTAATTCCATATCAATCCAGTTCTTCTCTATACAAAGTCATTTACAGATGCATTGTTAAAATATCATCTATATTATGAGATGTGTATTTGCCATGTTGACACTTGCACATTTTAATATAATTGTTTGTCTTATTGTAGCATATATAAAGTGAAATTAACCTGTATCTTAACCTCTTCTTGACGGCTCCAACCTGCACATTGAGTGCATGAAACAGGCAGAAACACATAAAGTATGCTTGATTGTGTGGGAGGTATGCAGGAGAGCAGGAGCGGTGGAGACACAGAAGAGGATCGAAGTAGGAACATAAAACAAAACAAACCTGAGATTAAAATGAACTGGAAACTATGCCTTAAAACCACAAAATTATCTCTCTAAATTCCCAGTTAATCTTTTGCCTTTTCTTAAGTAACCACATAAGAAGTGTTCAGGCTTAGTCCATGTATGTCAGGGATTGTGGTCATTCATTGTAGTGTAACCTTCAAAAGGTTTTCCAAAGAAAGCGTGGCATTTTAGTTTTTTTCCCCAGAACACAGGTGCCCACGTAATAAGCCATCTGCTCAGACATGGTCATTAGTTTTAAGATGATATCATTTAGTTTTCTCAGAGCATAGCACACACTGTTAGTTCAGAACAGAGCCATATATAGAAGAGCTTTGGCAGATCTTTCAGCGTTGGGCATTTTTCCAGTGAAAGAAAGAGGGCTGAATCTGCTGTGGTGGAGCACTGGCAACTTAAGGACACCTGTGCTTAGATATAGATCAGTTTTCAGTTGTGTTAAACCTATAGGCCTGTCACTATAATTACTGTATCAACTTATTGTTCAATATCTGAAAGCTGGAAGAACATTTATTTGAAGTACGTTTTCTTTGCACTACTGCTATTTTTTGTTTATTGTTTGGCAATACAATAAGATTTAAGCTGTAAAAGGTTGAATAAATCACTACTATGACTCATTACAGGTGCAAATTAAACTACTAATTGGTTTCATTCTGCTGTTTATTTATTGCAGCTCATGGGATTTTAACAATATTGTAGATTTAGAAGAGTTTGTGGTTTAAATCTGATCTTGGGTTATAGTGTCAATGGCATAACAGTTTCAGTATTATTATTTATTGTCTATATTATCTTCAGTAATATATCACACTTCAAAATGTGTTATGATGAAACCTGTTCTTTTAATTGTATTTGTTGTATTTAAACCCCTGAACAAGTAATTGATAGAGGCTAAAATGTAAAGTGGTTGCATTTTATACCTTTTTGCCAAATCAGTAGAGAAAGCTTGTTTTGGAACAGCTTCTAATAGAAATAGGAATAATTTTGAATAGGCTAAGCTATTGTCCATTTCGTGCACTAATAACTGAATAAAGAGGAGTAGGGCTATAGGGCAAAAATACTGTATAAAATAGAATAAAAATGAAATTGAGATATAGGTGTTTATGTTTCACTTTGTTTACAATACATACATTTGGTAGCTTCAATGCAATTGATTCTATCCGTCTTTGTCTAATAACTGATTGATAGGAGGACTAGAATAGTGTATAAATTGTGTAAAATGAGCCCTTTAAATTATTACTGAAATAAATTATTGATTATTTGCAGTTTTAGAGATCAAAGAGCAAAGACTGATGAACTTGTGCTGGGTCATTAGTCAAACTGACAGACGTGGTGCCTCAGAGTTTGTTTGTGAAACTTTAAAAGATGCTCCTCACATAAACAAACAGCTGCACCCTTTTCTCACAAACATCTCTCACAGCAGAGACACGCCCACAGTACAAACTACTACATCCCAGTACTTTACACTGTAAGTACACTCAACAGTTTCCACACTGTGACCTCAGGCCTTTTGAATGCATTTTATAAATTAAACTGTTGATTGACTGAAGGTGGAAGAAGTAGGGCAGCAGTAAACTATATATTCTAGTTTAATAGTAAAATTCAAAAATAAAAGCTTACCCTCATTGCTACTACTGCTATTACTGCTACATATGGTAACGCAAGTATGTAAATTAGGTCGTTTATTTCAAGTAGTATAGCTTCACCATTGTTACTATGGCTACTCTGACTACTGCGACTTCTACGGCTAGTACTACTGTTACTACTACTACAGCTACTACTATTACTAGCTCTACTACAGA